TATATATATATATATGCCTCAAAATAAGAGGTAAAAAGGTCAATAACCTTGAGTTTCACTTCTACCATTCATCTCTGGAGCCGTGGCCTCCAGGTTCATCAGCTCCCTTCATGAACCTGACAGGATATTGATTTTCAGCCTTGAGGCTTTGAAAGCTGGAGACAAAACAGGAAGAAGAAGCAGGTTGGGGGGTGAAGGTGTTATGGGATCCATGTCATCTCCTTTTTAAGATCCGATTTGTGTCTGGCGATGAGACAGACTGAGGGAAGGGTCAGCCTGTCAAACAGTGTGAAATGAGGAAGATGGAAAAAAAGAAACTGTTTGCAGATTCACTTCCTTTCACTCCTTTTTTTTTGTCACGTCCTGATTGGTAGGTATCAAAGCATATGCGTGCACAGTTAAAGCTCACCTTGATGTGATTCTATTGCAGCATCTTTCTGTAGAGATGCTGCAATAGAATCAGTAATTTTGGTTTGACTGATACTTGTGTGCATCAGATTCCTACGGTTAGTTGCTGGAGGAGGAAAGGTGTTGAACATATTTTTATTAAATGGATAGTTTTGTGCAACAATAGGAAAACAACTGAGATATGACTTTCTGCAGATGAGGGTGTTTGTGGGTGGGTGTGTGTCTCTTTCTGCAGAGCCTCTGACAGAATCTGTTTGTACAGTGTCCATTTCCTTAAAGAAGAAAAGACATGTGCCCCACATTTGAAACGAGGAGTTGGCCCACTTGGACTTCCTGACTGCAGGAAGTCTGTCTTGTTTCGTTTTAGTGACCCAGGCGCCTATGAGAGCCTCCGCGTTTCTTCATTCACATTAAATTAAATGTTCTGTTTTTAAGTATCTGTTTCTGTTTTCTCTTCAGGCGTTTCTTCAGAGAATCAGGCAAATTCCAGATGACCAACAGTGTCTTTCACCTGAACACGTCAAGGTAAGACCCCAAAAGCCCAACACAAATGCACAATGCTTGAGATATACCAATCGATTGGCCAGAAATCGGAATCAACCAATTTTTCATTGATCACCTGTGATTAGTAACCAGCAGGCCAAACGTAGATAATTAGACAATTTCTTATCCTATTCAAAGATTCATCCAAACTAAGAAGTTGTATTATTTTGCACTAGTATAAGCATTAATCATATGCACTGATGCACTTTTTTTAATTTCTGAAACATGAGAAAAAGAGGAATAAACAGGCATAATATTGTAATGTCTTCATGTTCTATCTGGTTTAAACCTCTAATCTATCTATGCACCTGCAATACATTTTCCCAGATATTATAGTTCTTAAAAAAAGGGAATCAGTTTAAATAATGGGCAGGTCAGCTGATTGGTATCAGCCATGAAAAGCTTAGTTGGTGCGCAACTTAAAAAGTATATCACAGTTCCCTTGAGGCTTATTGTAATAAGCAATAAATTAATTGATCACATGATAAATTACAACAGGCTCAATAATTTCCATTGACATAATTAATTGATTTTCTCTTTTCTCTCTTTCTGCCAAAAACTGAATGCTTTGGGCTCAGCTATCTATTTTCTGGAACAAAAAGTTTTTTTTGTTTTTGTTTTTTTTTATTATAAAGACTTAATAATTCATTTTATTTGTTGTTTCTGTAATTTTGTTGATTTATTTTGGATATGTAAAATGCCTTAAAGTTCCAGTGTTAAATGTTTGTTAGAATTTAAAGTTTATTGATCTTTGACAATGTGATCTTGTATTGTTATGTAATTACCATTATATTACTTGAAAATGGTCTCAAAACAACAATATTATCATTTACCTCAATAATTTCTGAGGGAATTTATCTAGTAACGTTTGTTATTGTGACAGGCTTCATTCTCACACATAAATCCTCGGACGAAACATTTACTATAGTCCATCTTACCTCCCTTTGTTCATCTTCCTTCCTTCACATCATCTTTTTTGCATTTTTCCACACGCAGATCCTGTTTTCCAACATCGAGGACATCCTGGAGTTGCACAGAAAGGTGCTTTCTGCTGTGGAGGCCGGCTTGCAGCCTGAACCTCATCCTAACCATTCGCTGGGCCACGTGTTCCTGCAGTTTGTAAGTACACACAGAAAGCAGAGGACGGCAGAAGGCCACATGGATTGAGCTCACGTACATGAACTCTGCATTCAAAAGCACAGACATAAAACACAAAATATCTTTTTCCTTCATAAACTCCTTTTTTATCTCATGGCCCCACAAACCAAATCAGTTGCACCGATTCTTCATCATTTGGTGATTCTGTCTTCCTCTTTTGCCACTCCATCGCTATCTGAAAGTCCAACACACACTAGCTCACCCCACCCTCGCTGCTTCCCTCTGGATGAACTCGTTTGGCCCCCAGGAACAAACAAAGAAGGGTCTGTGTCCGGGGAGGAAGACATGGTGTGTCACTCAGCCAGGGGGACAATATTCCTGCTGGTGGCACTCAGGCTCCAGCTCCTTCTTTCTCCCCTCTGTTTGTCCCTCTGATAATCTGTCTTCACTTTTACTGAGGGGCAAAATATGCCAGCATCAGTATTCTCTGCCCAGGCAACAGGAGCACAGACACAGCCTGAGTTTTACTTTCTCAAGTGCAGCACGCTGAATCACCAGGTGGGCTTAGCTTTTTCTGAGACGCTCCAACGTTGTTGTGGAGTCATTTCACAGTCAGACACAATCTGTTGTGGCACGGATGACATTTAATATCTGTCACAGAATTAGCTCATCAAAATGTACCTGCACACATGTGTGAGGTGTCAGGCTAGAGAACTGATTAATGCATGCTGTTTTCCGTCTTTCTGTTCTCCAGCTGACAATGGAAAAGGAAAAACTGAAAGATGAGAATTTATTTTGGTTTACCTGAAATAGAATTGATCTTTTCAGCAGAGCTTTTAATTTGTTTGACTGGTGTTAGACACATCAACACTAGTTCAGGATGTTGATTCTGGGTTATGAGATGAGCTTGTGTTGACATATTATAAAGAAGAAGGCTATGATGCATTCAGGTCACACAATTAGACTATTAAACACGAATTAAACAGTATTATAGGAAAAAACCTGATAATCCAAATAGAGGATATGTTTGATTAAAGAGCCTGACGTCTCCAAATATTAAATGTTTTGTTTATCTAATTTTAAGGTGCTAGAAAACATAATAAAACTTCGTAAATCTTGAGCTTTGCTTTACTGGAACTCAGGTAAATCCCATATTACCTGTGTAGAAAATTTAAGAATTTAACATTTTAAAATAGAGGCATTGTTTGCCTCCCAGATCTTTTAAAAACCATAAAATGGTCTTTCCGTTTTGTCATGACAGGATATTGTGAAACAGATGCCAGTTTTATCACCGTTAGCAGCTAACGGTTAGCAGAGCTGTTTGTTTTTTACTCGCGGTTCAGTATTCACAGATTCAACTCTTCACTGATTTTTATTTCTAAAATATTCAAAAGAAAAAGAAAGTTTGGAAGCTCAAACACCTCAGCACAGTGCTACTTGACACATATGAGTTTCTGTGTTAGCTCCCAGACGGTTTCTGCTTGTTGAGGCATATTTAGTGTCTAATTAAACTATTAAAATATGCAGTTATAAGCATTTTTATGGCAGGTCTCAAGTATTGTAGCGATCCTAAAATCCCATAAATAGAGAGTCCAACGTGCATCCTAGAAGATTTTAAAATAGAGGAGGCTTCTTCGTCAGCCAACCTGACATGTGGCCTCTAGCTTGTCACACAAGCTCACAACGACTCAATAACCACTTCCCGTCTTACTTCAAAATAAGACATGGGTACAGGAAGTCAACCAGATCTGGGGCTCATACCATTAGCTTTGACTAGAACAACAACCAGATTGCGATTCAGGGAACAAACCTCATTTTGAGGAGAAATACTTTGGTTTTAATATAGATTTCAATCCACAAGCTTTTCTTACATTTCTGGGTTATGAGCAGGTGAAGGTCCTGCAGTCTGAAGCTGATGGTTAGTCCAACACAGACATAAAACCAGAGCTGACCTTCACCTTAAAACAATTCATATCTCAGAAAAAGCCTTGGCAGCTTTTGAAAATACCAACTAATGTAGATCTACGCTAGCAAGAGATCAGAAAAGAGTTCTGGCAGGATATAAATTACCTGTTTGAATGTTCAAATATGCTACAAATGTTCGTTAACTGTGCAGGAGGAAAATCCCCATTGCTACATGGTAAGCTAAAGGGATTTTGTGGGTCAGAGGTCAAGGTGAGCGTCTCTGAACTTCCACAGACTTTGAATGTGTTATCTTACAAACACCTGGAGGGAATTTCATTACATCTGACATGAATGTCCACTTTGACTCTACAATGAACTGATTAGATTTCTGGGGACAAAGGTCAGTCAGGCTTCACAAAACACTTTTTTTGGCTGTAACTCAAAATTTCAAACCCTCATTTGGTGAAATTTTAAACAATAAAGAGGCAGAAGGACGTTCCATATGCTGATCAGTCTTTTTTTTATTTATTTATTTTTTACTTTTACTCTCCTTTTTTGGTTTCACTATGTAGAAATTATTACAGGTTTTGTAGCTTTGCCACACATGCCATTGTCCAGATTTTCACTTTTTCCATTCAGAGTTGTAGCTTCCCACAGAGCAGCTCTGTTCACACGTATCCATTACACTTCCATGACCCTCATCTCCTTCAACGCTGAGTCCTCTCAGCCAATCGCTCAGCCCGTCTGCCGCCCTCAGACCGCGGCCCTTGACCTCCACCAAAGGTCAACTCCATGACTGGGATTTGATTAACCTCCTGCATTGTTCAACAGCACCACAGTGAGGGAAGAGAACCGGGAAGATTCTAAGCTATTTAAAGTCAGATGCTGCTGAGATGGCTCAGAAGGAGGCAAATTTATTTCAAATGTGTTTATTTATTTTAGCTATTTTTTTTATTTTATTTTACTTTATTTGTAAATACTTAGGAGATGTAAAAACCCTTGCTTAAGGCTTACATTATCTCCAGGATTACAGAACCGTGCAATTATGAAAAAAAATTAATGTCGAAGAGTTTTTTCACCATTGTTTGCTCCATTTTGGGCCATGTATATATAGTGAGGCTGAAAGAGGCAAACAGTCATGTCAGTCTACATTTTCTAAATTGCCCTAACTTTGCCCACTACGCTCTGACTCGACGTGTTTCCCTCTGTGAGATCCCGCGCTCCCATCCAAGTCTCCAGAAAAACATTCCAGTGACTAAGAATTTAAATACAGATTGTTTATCAAAGGAACAGCCGAAGCCTTTGAGTTATTCTTGGTATAAGTGACGTCTTTCACAGCGGCCCTGGACTTCAGGAAGAACCACAGAAATAAAGTCTTTTGACCCTTGTTTCATAAATAAGCTACTTTAAGGGTGACTGAAACGACTGTGTAGTTGTCTTGACGCATGGAAGAGAAATACGTTGGAGAAGTTTCGTTTTTACTCAGGCACAAAACAATGAGCCTGATCAAAAACAAGATGGGAAGGATGATTAAGTCTGGACCAGGTTACTACAAGTTCAGCAAGTCAGGATAGCAGTAGTCACAGATTGGGTTTACAGTCATGTGCTGCAGCAGCAGCAATTGATTCTCTTCTTGTAGCAACCGCCATTTTTTTTCATCTTCTTATTTTTGTGGGTTTTTATGTTTTTCAAGCAACACTATGTATATTGTTGTCCATAGTTGTGAATTGTAAAGAAAACTGTACATAATTTTTAACAATATTTTTTAGAAAAAAAAATCTGAAATGTGTGGCTCTTCTGATGTCCTTCACTCAAATACTTCTAAATGAGACAAACAGATGGCGCTCTGCTCAGATTCACAGCTGAGTGTGAAGAGGCCGAGATGAGGATCAGTGCCTCCAAATCCAAAGGGCAGAGTGCCTTCTCCGGGTCAGAGGGGTCGTCCTGCCTCAAGTGGAGGAGTTGAAGTATCTGGGGATCTCGTTCACGAATGAGGGAAGAAGGGAGCAGGAGATCAATAGGTGGATTTGGGTAGCGTCTGCCGTGAAGCGGACGCTGTACCGGTCCGTCGTGGTGAAGAGAGAGCTGAGTCAAAAAGCGAAGCTCTCGATTCACCGATCGATCTACGTTCCCACCCTCATCTATGGTCATGAGCTTTGGGTCATGACCGAAAGAACGAGATCATGGATACAAGTGGCCGAAATGGGTTTCCTCCGCAGGGTGGCTGGGCTCTCCCTTAGAGATAGGGTGAGAAGCTCGGTCATCCGGGAGGGACTCAGAGTAGAACCGCTGCTCCTCCACGCCGAGAGGAGCCAGTTGAGGTGGCTCGGGCATCTGGTAAGGATGCCTCCTGGACGCCTCCCTGGTGAGGTGTTCCATGCACGTCCCACCAGGAGGAGACCATGGGAAAGACCCAGGACACACTGGAGGGACTATGTTTCTCAGTTGGCCTAGGAACGCCTTGGAGTTCCCTGGAGGAGCTGGAAGAAGTGGCTGGGGAGAGGGAAGTCTGGGCCTCCCTTCTGAAGCTGCTGCCCCTGCGACCCGACCCTGGATGGATCGATGGAAACCATTGAATATTTGTTAGTTCACTGATCTACTTTGTGTTTGTCTCACATAAAATCTGAGGAAAGGATTTTATGTGACAAAAACTTGTTGCAGCCAAGTTTTGGTCACATAAAACTTGGATGCAAGTGTCAAAATGTCACATCCAACAAGTTTTGGATGTGACAAAACTTGTTGCATCCAAAATTTGGATGCAACAAAATTTGGATGCAACAAGTCAAAATGTGAAATGCTTAAAGGAATAAGAATAGTTTTGTAAATCAATGTATATTATGGACATTTTGAGAGACATAATCTGGACTTCAAAGTAAGCGATGTGAAACCAATGCAGTATTTATTTACAGCTTATGTGATCAGACTTCAGGCATGTCTTCCATTGGCTGCCAGTCACCTAAATGCAAGATGATGACATTTTTTCCTTCCAATATTCACCTTATAAAGCTCAGAACAAATATATTTGGCTCTTTGCTTCCAGGAATGTGAAGCGCTCATCCCAGTCCAGGCTTTAACAACCCTTTATTGATTATCCCTGGTGTAGAAATACAGGCATGCATAAAACCTGGAACCTGAAACTTTTTTGTACTAACATTCATAGACGTCCTCTCTCCCACTTCTCCTTTTCTGTTTGCTGTACGTCATAGTAGAAATGAATAAACAACATCCCAAGATGTAGCACTTCCTCATTTTCATGTTAGGTGAGGCATCATGCTTTGCAACAAACCACTGACTGCAATGGATGCAGAACCTTTTGTCAGGCTGGCATTTAGATCCAGTTACAAGAAGAAATGCAACACCTGGTCCTGTGAAAACACGGTGCCGCTTCAGATGTATTATTCATGCATTATTCAGTACAGGCTGAAGCTGAACGCACAGCTTGTTGCTGGTTAAAGCCCATTAAGTATAGGTAGCTAGTAGGATGTGAAACCATGTGCAGAGTGGATCCTAATCTTGACATGTAGAAACTGAAACTGTCATCTGAAACAGCCTTGTAAGTGAAATCTAAAACTACAGGAGCTGGTTGCTGCTCTCAGCTTCAGCTGCATATTCTGTCCTGAAGAGTTTGATGAACACAATTTAAAAGTCACTATCTGCGCTTACATTACAAATGGGTGCCAATCTTTGTCTATGTTTTGCTAATGTCAAAAAAACTATTTTGTGGTGTTTCCATTAAATAAGAAATTAAATTGAAATCACATGTGAATAAGCTTGTTCTCGCGATAAGCCATTGAAAACAATGGATGTAAACAGTTACATGAGATGCATTCATAAATCAGCCATGGTGGGCTGGTGCTCATCATCTATCAGCCAATCGGAGGAGTCATCTGCGTCTTATTCAGGCATTAGAGAGATAAGCCCCGCCCACTTGGGAGCGGCTACATATGCAGCGTTTTGGGAAAACTGTAGTCGGTAATTTTACAGAATGGTTGTGGATTCAATGTGTTGGAATTACAAACTGAACTTTTAATGAACTGTGATGCTGAGAGCTCTGGTGGATTCAGCTGCACATTGTCTGAAAAACATAAAAACTACAAAACACAAAATGGACTACTGATTTTTTTTCTTTTTTTTTTTTTTTTTTTTTGCATTGCTATGGTTCCATTAAGCAAATTTATTTTTTGTTATTTCAATTTGCACAACTTTATGGTCAAAGGAAACACAGCTACAGTCAAACATCTGAAGTGCTAAGATTGGAATATTTTTATGAAAAAGGGTAACTTCTGTTTAACAGCAACTTTTAATTTTATTTACTTTCTTCCTACACAAAACTGATCTCAATAAGACTCTCAAAATACATATTTCCAAAATGAAATAAACAATCAATGAAGGGCAAACAGTCTTTATTGCACACTGTCGACGTCTGGCAGAAGATTCTGATCCAAAACGGCACCGAGAGCTTCAGCTGTTCTAATCTACACATGGTCTGTGCCTTTATACAAACATAGATGAATTGTTCTTTCCTGTTTGTACAAATATATGTAACAGCATCAGCACACACACACACACACACACACACACACACACACACACACGCACGCACACTGCTTATTAACCTGATGTCGAACTTTGATAAATGTAACAATGATGGCAGTCTGGATTGAGGGAACTCTCACTATGTGTTCTTAAAAATAAAAACTGTTAATCAGCCAATCAGAAAACCACAACAGCAGATTTAGAGCTGCGTCTGCCAACCCACAGCGATATGGCAAAACGCTCCACATCTTGTAAACATGCATAAATGCATGACTTGCATTAAGAGTGTGTGAATTTTGCATTCTGAGGTTTCTCAGTGCATTTTGTTCAAAAACTTAACATTTGGTGGTACACTTCAAGACGTCACATTTAAAAAACAAAACATAAAAACAACATAACTAAACAAGGCCTAGTCAAAGTGCAGACATAAATCCAATTGAGGATTTCTAGATAAACTTTAAGAAACTGCCAACAGCATATGCTCTCCATCCCAGAGCATATGCATGTTTGAAGACTTGCAGCTGTAATTGCTGACTCACTTTTCATATTCAGAATCAGAAGAATTTATTGTCATTGTCACAAAGACAATGAAATTGCAGTTTCAGTTACAGTTGATTTGTAAAACACTTTGAAAGCCCCAGCTCCTTTCCTGCCATTTAGTTTGATTCTTTGAGTTGTAAACCAGCAGGTGAAATGTGCTGGGCGGCCGTTTGAAAAGCTGCTTTTCTGCTGTTTTCAGAAGCAGAGCTTCTCAGTTTACGGCGAGTACTGCAGTAACCACGAGAAGGCTTTGCGACTTCTGATGGAGCTCAACAAGATTCCCAACATACGGACCTTTCTACTGGTAAGATAAAATATATATTCTTTCTTTTCAAATCTTTTTTTTTGTTTGTTCATTCAGAGGGGAGACTGAGGTTTCTTTTTTGCATGTTTTTTGTTCATTATAAAAATACATCAAAATTTGGGGTTGTAAACTCAGAAATTGTGAATACTTTTGTTAGACTCTGGATGACTTCACAGCTGATTTTCCTTTGGGTAGTTCTTTCTATATTCTTAAATGTTTTTCAGTTTTTTTCCCTTTGACCTACATTTGGTTAATATCCTGACTCCTTTCCGTAATCCTGCTTCGTTTTCACCACTCCTATCACCTCCATTTCCATGTAAACACTTGAATAAAGGCCAGATAGCATAACAAGGTCAGGAGGTTCTTCCTGCCTGGACAGGAAGCAACCGTCGTCAAGGACATTTTTGTGTATTGTTACACTTGTAGTGCTTCCTCTGCCAGCTGCTTCCATGTTTTGACACCCAAACCTTTCTGGCTCCGGACAATGAAGTTAAAATGGCGCCGGGGGGCCCTGAGCGGGGAGCGGGGGGTCCCCGACTCCCAGGCAGGGAAGCCATCCTGGGATCAGCCAGCTGTGGACTGTTGGCAGCCGTTTCTGGACGGGCCGTGAGCTCTGAGCCCCCCACGTCTGTCACAGTCCGGCTGCTTCCATGACATCCAGGGGATCAAGGCTGATGCATCCGCTGGATTTTTAAAATGTTTCCTCCTGCTCCTCTTAGGTCCAGATTAGCAGCTGTGAACCGGTCGGGTTCTGCATGATTCAGATGCTTCCAAAATAAAACCATTACTCAACATCTGGCTGTGCATCAAAACGATTATCAAATGTGTTTCTGTGTAGCAGAATTCTGCCAAATAAAATTAAATTGAAATAAAGAAATAAACTCCATGTTGACCTGGCAGGGATCTTTGTAGTAGTACAGGAAGAAACATATATTTTAACTTTAATTAGCCACCAAAAATGTGTCATCAGTGTAAATTTTCTTGCTAGTGAATTTCTTTTTTCAACTGTGATGGGAGCTTCTGAAATTGCATATCAAACTGAACAGCTAATGGCATTGTGAGCTAGGAGAGAAGTGAAGTTGAAAGAAAATTAGGTCAGAAGGATGAGTGGAGTGACTGGTGGCTTCAGGCTGGTGGATTACAAATATGAAGACAAAGAGAGAGAAAAGGAAGTTTGTAGAAACTAGAGTAGGAATCGGTGTGTGAAGGGGAAAAATTTAAAACAGCAGAAATCAGAGAAATTAAAAAGGTTAGTTTGACTTTTTTCTTTAAGAAATGCTTTTACAACTCCATTCAGCCTCTCCAGCTGTGTTTGAAAGGAATTGCCATGTGATCACAATGCTTCAAAGTGAGTTCCAGGCTTCCTTCCCTCTGGAGAACATTTCAGTGGTTCATCTGATTTGGCTTTTGATCGTCTTCCCATCCACTGGCTGGCAGCTAAAGACGAGCTGAAGTGAAACCAAGGCCATCGAAGTTCTGACCTTCATCCACTTCCGAAGAAGCAGAAGCTTCAGCTGGTTCTGGGGAAGAGTTCATTAATGCTCAATTGCTCTGAGAAAAAGATTTATTTCATAGGTTACCGTTTGTTAAATGGTTCTGTGATTTTGTAAAAGTATTTTTCATCACTTTTGACGGAAGACGAGATTTTCTGAAGTTTAAAATTATATCATAATTGTCACGATTTTTGCTAAGTTTTGGTAATAGTAGTGTCAGTAGTTATTGTGTTTGTCATAATTGCTAAAGATTTGTTTGTAGTTTAAGAAAAGTCATTAAAGTGCAGTAAAATACCAGACCACAGTTCCACTTGGCTCACTGTCCAGTTTTCTACAGAACACCTTATATCTGACCTTCCCTCACAGCCAAAATCAGATCCTGTAGTGCCGTGTTAGGCTACTGCTAGCATGTTAGCTCTTTGTTTTGATTTCCTTTTGACAACAGTGTTAATATGCATTAACAATTAATTCTGCTCCTGCTTCATAAACTCTTTGTTTTAAACATCATAACCCTAATAATTAGTGTGTCAGCTGCTCTTTGCACTGCTTTCTTCTGCCCAGACAGCTGTTGCTGACAGAGCAGGTCACGTGACACAAACAGGAAGTCAACATCATTGTAAAAGGTGAAAAACAATTTGCCAGAGGAACCCCAGACTGATAAGTTCAGCAGCATAATGCCACTGTCCTGTCATCAGGTACTGCAAGCTGCACACATAAATATAGAAAGTTCAGCTGCTGCTCAGGGTGCGGCTGACATAAAATCCAAAATGACTCAATAAAATAAAGTGTCTGGATTTAGCTCAGCTTAGTCAGGGAATCAAAATGGCAATCATTCCAAAACGCCTTGATCAGAACCTGAGTTCAGTTCTAATGACTGGATCAAGTTTAGGAGTTCTGATCAGGGCTGACAAAGTGTGACTGTCTCACTGAAAGAATCAAAACTCCAGGAGAAGTTAATTAAAAAGTCAATTTTCTTTGTTTTAAAATATTAGGTATATCTTATGATGTGGGTAAATCTCAAGAATTGAGTTTATATTTACTGAAAATGACAAATTTTATTAACATTTAATTGCATGGTAAAGACAGTTAGAGGTTATTTCTAATTTTACTAAATTACTAAAAGTTGTGATATTTGTAGAATTGCTTTATGCAGTTTCTGTGATGATGCAGAAAGAAAACAATAAACATATTCAACATAATTTCACACTAACAACAGGAGACATCTGTTGGCTTTTTGGTCCTGAAATCACATTTTACCTTTAGGTGTAAAAAGCATGTCTCATAAAACAACATCCTTATGAATAAAAACATATTTAAATCTTTTCTCAGACTTTGATCTGCTAAAGACCGGCTTCCTGACTGACTGCTGTAAATGGCGTCTACAGCCAAGTGAAACATGACAGCAGCAGCTAATTAACTAATTAAAGCCTTTTTACCCATGACAACTTCAAAGCACATCCACAAAATCTTTAAATGCTGTAAAACTTATACTAGATCAGTGATGTGTGCACAAGTCGAGTCATCCCTGATTTCTTTGTCTGAAGGTTTGAAAGTCTAAAGAAAATCTTAGACAACTTTAAAACAAGTCACTTTAAAGAACAGTTTAACACTTTGTACAGGGTACTGCGTCTTAGAAAGATGGAGATTTCGATCCTCTCACTTTTAGTCACATTGGAACCACAAATCTTCAATTCACTTTTATTGGGATTCTATAAGAGACACCAACACAAAGTAACACTTAATTGCTATGTGTTAGGAAGATAATTTTTAATAAAAGTTCTGCAGCTTTAAAGAATCTTTAAATTCACAAGAACCATGAATCAGTCACAGCTAGTCCACAGGTCTTTGACTATAAACACTGTGCAGCAGACATTAGATTGTCCTGATCTGTGTGTCTCATATCTGTCTCTGTCAAATAAACTATAAAAAAAAATAGTAGCAGTATAGCTGTTTTTTATGACTATGCTAACCTGGCGATGTATTTTCAGCGTTAACCTTAAACTCACTTCCACCATCAACTTCCCTCGCCCTGGCAGAGATTTGTTTAAAATCGACACAGGAAGGAACCAAGCTAGACTTTTACATCCTATACGCAGAGCTGGACTCTTTTCCGGCGCTCTTCTTCTCCTCTCACTTCTTTTGTTTTTTCACATTAAATAATTATGTCATTGCTTCAATGCAAATCCAGAAAACACAAGTCTGAAACGTGTTTCTGCTTCTGTTTCCTGTGCAGCACTGCATGCTGTTGGGAGGAAAGAAGAGCACAGACATTCCCCTGGAGGGTTACCTTCTCACTCCCATCCAGAGAATCTGCAAGTACCCTCTGCTGCTCAAGGTACGGCTGCAGCTGCTGCAGCAGCGCTGCACCACACAGCACATTCTGAAAACCAAACAGCTATGTTTGAGTTCAGGTCATGACTCATTTGTAAACTTGGTTAGATGGGCACATTTCTTCCTATGCCGTTGGTGGTAGTTTTGGAGCAGAGGCTGGTAAAGGTCATGCTCCTAAATAACCTCCCTGAAACTCTGTTTTGTGCTTTTTTTTAGTGGATCTACTTAATTTTCTGAACTTCCTCTCTCTGTGATATAGGAACTACTTAAAAGGACTCCTAAGAAGCATGCAGACTACCCTGCTGTGGAGGAGGCTCTGCAGGCCATGAAGGCCGTCTGCTCCAACATCAACGAGACCAAGAGGCAGATGGAGAAACTGGAGGCTCTGGAGCAGCTGCAGTCCCACATCGAAGGCTGGGAGGTGAGAACAAGAGCAGGCTGAGCCGCCACAACTGGGGCGGGAGGTCTGGACTGGAAGGGAAACTGAGATCTTTGAGATTTCAGACTCAGAGGCTGGTCATGAATGCAACTGAAAGGAGAAATTAATTTTTAATAAAACCACAACAAAGACAGCTAGAGTTAAAGGAAGTTAACTACCACATCACTCCTCCACTTTTACAGCCACGGTATTATGATGCTCTGCTTTTACCTAAAGGTCTGAAGGGTCTGCTGCATTTTCACGCCTCCCTCACCACCACAACAGGGCCCTTGTCTCAAGTGGCACCATTGGGGACAGTTCACCCACTCAGGCAGCTGGAGGGGGCATGCCAACAGGCTCACCGGCCAATCAGAAGAGTCCCGAGAAGCAGACCTCCATGTTTGAGGAGTTTATATGTGCTACCTTTAGTTGGAATGCGCCTCATCTGAACATCCATTTGTCTCATTTCATTATTTTACACAAAGCCGGTCACAACAACACATTTTTCTGGACAATAAATTCTCCCAGAAATGTTTGTGATAATTGATAATATTGTTGTTTTGAGACCATTTTCAAGTGAAAAGTACACCCTTTTATAGATCAGTTAACTTAAATTTCTAACATTTATCAATGGAACTGAAGGACATTTTGAATATCCAAAAGAAATAAGCAAAACACCTGACATGGGAAATACAATGAATTATGAAAGCTGTCCTTCAGAAAAGGACGAGCTCTGCCCAAAAGCAGCAGACTGAAAGAGCTGCAAGCAAATATGTAAAAATATGTCAGTTTTGGCTCCTATCTGATATCTCTGTATATTTATTATTGGTAATACTAGGACTGCAACTAACAATTATTTTAGCAATCAATTATTCTATCGCTTATTCTGCTGATTAATTGATTAAAGAAATTGACACATTCTGACAATTTTTCATTTAACCACTTAAGTGTATTTTATACAACATTAGAAATACATTATAAAATACAAATAAACAAATAATTCATTTCCTTTTTAAGTGAAAAAATAAACATTCTAATCTATTCTAAGCTTTCCTTTAGTGAACTCTTGATCATTTGTAGCACAGGATGGATCTGCTGCTGAAAAATATTTTTATCAACATGCGAAAAGCCGTTTTGCTTATCAGTACACTATAGGCCTAATCTATTTACTGGTTTTCAATTAAATGATTAATAACAGGATAGTTAAACATGCTTAATAAGAGATTATTTTTACACTATTTGAACCAGTTGAAGCTAAATAAAACCACTTGAGGAGTTTTGGGTAAAACATTTACAGATAAAGAAGGTTTTTCATCTTAATTTACATTTTGTACAGTTTTAACTTAATCCCTGCTCTGAGTGTGTAGGTCTTTCATCAAAATGCCTTTATGAGTCTCTATGATCCAGATAACAATTCATTGATGACTATTTCAATAATCAATTAATCTGATTAATTGGTGTGAAACATATCACTGTATTGTAGGTACAGTATTTGCTAACCTACAGACTGGTAATGAAGAACAATGCTGTTACTGAACCCAAAGAGCAGCTGAAGCATCAAGTTACATCAGGTTTGTACAGAGAAGAGCCTCAGATAAACTCCAAATGTTCAGATTTTTGGTTTCTTTTCAACCTCAGCCAGGCACTTTACTCCGACCCTGCAGCCCCCCTCTGGCCCCCCAGCATGCAGGCCCTGACCTAACTGCATTAGCCTCGTCTCCTCTCCCCTCTCCAGCCTCTCTTGGAGCCCCGTCATCTCCAGCCATAATGGAGGAGCAGTGGTGCCGACCAGGCCTTGTATGTGCTGTGTGTGAACACACACGCAGCTTTACGCTCCACCGCTACATCTTAATGGGCCTAATCGAAGGAGTGGCTGCAGAATGCAAGACATGCATTCTTTGGTGCAAACACATGCAGTTCCACATTATAGAGCCTGGAGATCAATCCATTTGATTGATTTGTTCAAGGACAGCTAAAGGTGCTTAATGGAAGAGTAATCAATTAAACTCAATTAATCAATTTTATCTATTAACTGAATTTATTTGATTTGAAGATTTAATTAGAGGAAAATCTGTTCGGTATTTCAGAGTGATGTCAGCACTCCTGTGGTCCGCCATCTTGTTTGACAAGCATGTTTTACAGCTTCCAATGTTATTTGTAATTTTGTTTGAAGAAATGAAAGTCAAAACATTTTTGATTAAAATTATAAATTGAATTTGATATAAAAAAAAATGAAATTTTCTTTTTAAGGCAAGTCGCCTGGCACATTAATATCTGGACTTAATGTGGTTAGACCTGAATCTGAATTGTTTTTCTGAGATGGAAGCCCTCCCCCCCATCCCACTTAGTGTTGACCTCAACATCAGCGAGAATAAGGAAGATTTGTTTCTTAAAATAAAGGCTTTAAAAACTCAATCTATCTGGAGAACAAACTAGATTTATGGAGGCTGCAGGTCTAGGTGACATGGTGGGGGTTGAATCTGTCAGGAACGAGGTCAACTGGGTGGGTGGAGGGGGTGACGGTGTGCTCCAGAGTCCACACATGGAGACGTTTAGTTCCAGATGAACCGGAGGGAATGGACCATTTAACCACGAGTAATGACTTGTTTTTCATGCTGATTGTCCAACTTATTGGCAGCCTGGCTTTGACACATTCAGTCGTTAGTTTGCACCTTTATGTGTTGAGCTAAGCGCTTTCTGGTTTTGTTGAGTTTTCAGTTCTGCAAGACAAAGTTTTACCATTCACATCTTTGGAGGGAACATGTTAATGAAGGCGCTGCTCAGGCTCATAATGTGTGAAATCCATTTCCAGTCCACAGCTGAACATGTGAAAATGCTGAAAATGGCTTTCTAAAAATAATTTTCTCGCCTATTAACAGTAAATGGCTTTGCAGTTCATCCTCCTTTAAAAAAAATGGCTGATTAAACACCAAGCTATGGTGATCCGGTCACTGAGAGTAACTTTATGCCTTTCATTAAGATAAAAATGTTTTTCAAACCTCTCTTTCATGAAGTTTATGCAAATAATTTCATTCTAAAATGTTTTAGCAGCGATCTCTCTCCACCCATCTGGTCTGGGTTTGATGATGGTAACAGGCTGCTGGCCTGCCTTTTGCAGCTTGTGGTTAATTCAGTAGTTTACAAGAAAAGGCTTTTATCTGAGACTCAATCACATCCGGTGAAGGTCTGAGGCTGCAGACTAGATTGTAGCTGCTGAGAGGCTTTAGCTACATCTTTTCAGTTTTCCTTTTAGCATGACAGAAGCAGAAAGCATTTAACCCCAAATTCACTTGCAGAGATTCGAGTCAAAAATATGCATTTCTGCTCTGTTTGCAGCATCCTCTGTCATGTTTCCTGACATTTTGGAGATCGGTCGATACTCACATGAGAAACCAATCTTATCTTAAAGCGTCTAAAATCAGCTACTGTTTGCTGTGAGAGAAGCTTGACTGTCCAACCTGCCCACCAGGTCATGTCTGAATGTGTGCGGTTAACAAGTTAACAATAATTTAATTTATTCGGGAGGGAGAGTGCACATTAATTAAACATTTTTTAAACGTGCCAGATGTTTTTATCTTTCATTGCTGGACATCAGTCATTTGTCTTGCTTAAAACAAACAAAGATTCTACAAGTAAGATTAAAATGACTCAACTACTAACTCATTTTATCAATAAAAACAGAAATACAAAACAGGGAAACTACAACACATTTATAAATAAAAAGTACAAAAAGTAGTTAAAGTTAATTAACAGTCACCCCCATGTTTGCCACTTTAGCAACTTTTCAGACAAAAAAAATTGGTTATCAGCTAAAATATGAATGAACAGGCTTTTAAAGATCAGTAATCAGCCTGAAAACTGCAATCCACAGTATAAAACAGGAATCCACAGAATGTCACAGAATACTCTTTACTCCATCTTCTGATAATGAATAGAGGACGGAGGAAACTACCAAGAAATGATTATCTACCTTCAATCCATCATGCCAACTCTTGAGGAGCTGTAGAGATCCAGAACCCCAGTGGAAGAAAACCTTTTCTGAACAAAATCTCTAAGAAGTCACTTTTGCAATTTGCCACAATCCACAGAGGAGATTCAGCTAAATTTAAAAAGGTTTTCTGGTAAGATGAGGTTGAACTCCAGTCTGGTCTACATGCAAGACAAAAAAGTAACATCAGCCTCAGCAGGATTTAGTTTGTTTTGTGAAGTGAGTGAATCTAAAATGTTGAAGGTTGTTTGAGTCAGTCTGTAAGGCTCAGCTCTCAAAACGAACAGTTCTTCTCTGGACTCCAACTCTTTTTAATGTTTCAGCTCTTCTTCAGTTGCTGTTGTTTTTTTTTTTGTTTGCTTTCTCTAGTAAGAACGCACATATCCTGACGTAGAACAGTTAATATCTTAGCTTTGTCTATAAAAGTCAGCAGATGTTTTTGGTGGGGTCAGCTGTGTTTCCTATCATTGACAACAAGAATGTCAACAAGCCGCTCTCGGTGTCAAAGATTAATTTTGACATTGTTCTGTAGAGGTTGTGAACTCTTTGGTTTTGAATGCACACAGCAGAGTTGTCCTCAGATTAAACAAACCGCGTTCGCTGACAGTGAACTGGACGGTGTTGGATTCAATCTTCTATTTCAGTTTTTTCTTTTTTTTTCTTGTTTCTGCAGGGAACCAACCTGACTGATATCTGCACGGAGTTGCTCCTTCATGGAAATCTCCTGAAAATCTCGGCGGGCAACATCCAGGAACGCGTCTTCTTTCTGTTCGACAACCTTTTAGTTTACTGCAAAAGGAAGTCCAGGTGAGAAACAAAACCATGTGTTGGTGAAAGGAAACAAGAGAGCATCCAAACTTGAGGAGACGTGAAAATAAAAACGGTTCATTCCCGTTAATGTGAACTCATTATTTACCATGTGAGAACCAAGCCAAGCACACATCCTGGGCATGTGGAGCATGTGGAGGTCTGTGGATGTCTGCATGCTTTCAGAGGGTTGTTTAAGTAGCACACGGCGCTGGCATCTTCTGGTGTTTATTCTTCCGGAGCGTAACCGCGGTGTTGTCCCCTCTCACAGAGTGTCTGGGAAGAAATCCACCAAGAGGACCAAGTCCATCAACGGGCCTCTCTATGTGTTCAGAGGCCGGATCAACACTGAGGTGATGGAGGTGGAAAACGTGGAAGACGGAACAGGTTTGTGTTTGTATCTCAGGATGCATTAAACCAAACTTTCAGCTCATTTCCTATTAAACACACTGAAAAAACACTAAAAATATTACCAAATATTTTTGTTTTTAGTGCAAATATCTTAGACCATATAAAATATAAGACCAAACTTTCTTGCAAGTAACTTTTCAGCGAGATACAGGAGTTGTTTTAATTCAGTATTTCCTTTATGCTTATGAAAAAGTTGTAATTCCACTGGCTGATTATTTAACATGGAACAGATGTCTCATTATGAATTAAATAATTATCCACTGTACTTTGTTTAATCAAAATGAAGAAATTGCGTACGTAAAGGGGCAGCGTTGTGTAAGATCAGTTATTTTGAGCTTTACATCATGTTATATTATTTCCTCATCAGAAAAAATCCTGGAGTTTTGTTTGAGAAATCCTTTAATCTCCATGACAACCGTTCAGTTGTGCTAAACGCCTGAGTGTACCAAAGGCACAGCTCCTCCTCTGAGCTGCAGCTTCTCAGCTTCAGCCTCTCAGAGCAGCTCCTCCCACTCAGATCCTTCAGACTAGCCAGCAGCAATTAGCAAACAGCTAGTGGAACTGC